TATTTCTGAAAATTATATCCTAAACAAGGAACTTTGAAAAAAGCTCAAAATCTAGAAAGAAAAAAAATAAAATAGCAGTAGAGCATATTCCTCATCCCCTGTGCCAGGAGAGGTTACTCAACACCTCACACAGCCTATCAAAAGCCCCTAACTCCCTGTAACACTAATGACCACCCTACTCAGCAGACCTTCTCCTCCTTGTTGTGTTAAATTGTGTTTGTGCTACATCAGATCACTGCATTCCCAGGTTTCTAACCTATTCTTCACAGGTGAAACCACTTCCAGTGTAAAAGGCAATTAACAAAGACAAGTCTTAAGCAATTCCCTTGGAGTTCCAGCTTAAAGACTTAATTGGAAGACTTCTTAGGACCTCCGTATTTGGGTGATTGATGTTTTTAGTTATTGTTTTCCTTGTTAGCTTTAAGAAACAGTTTCTACCTACAGATGCTGTAAGTTAGCTCTTGGAGACACTATTAGGAACTCTCTATAGGAATTTCCCTCAGGATAGAATTTCTGTAAGCTAATTTAAATTTTATGGTAAGAATGCAAACCAACAAACAAAAGCTAGTTATTTGTATCATATTGTTATTCATATTTGATTTGTCTGTAAGCACAGAGCTACAGCAGAAATTAATCTTGGATGACTTTTATATTAACAGTATATACTATATACTCCTAATTATATATGATAGCTGGTGAGCTTAGTGCTTGAGCAGCTGCTGTACTATTATATGGCATTCCTTGGGCTGTCTTTATCTTCCACATTAGTCTCTTCTTGTGAGAATCAAATGCCATTCTGTAAATCAGCCTTGAAAGACACCTGAAAAGCAAGCAAACTTTCAGGTTTAATGTACTTTCAGAAATGAAGAAGTCCACAAAATTACCTAATTTTGCGGTGGTTTTCATTTTTACAAGTTTTAGAAGCACCATTTTATGAAATGGTCTTGTAACAATGAAGAACAATAAAATCTAAACCCTACAGAACAAAAACTTGGGACTGGAGTAACCTAGCATAGTTCTGTTGAAACCCATGGGGCTAGCCTGGGTTGTATCAACTAAACATTTGACCTCAGCTGGGCTTTGAATTTGAGGGAAATGTGTCACATTTTAAAATAGAAAAAGGAAAGTAGCCTTAATCAAATAAAATAGAATCAAGTACAGAATTCTCTAGAAGGGAAAGGATTGTTTATTATGATCTTATGATCTGATTTCCTAGGAAACATGAAATACTTTACTATTCAAAGTGTTTTCCTGTGTGGGATTTTAAATACTGAAATCTGCCCTGTGGTACCTACAAGCATAAACAATAGGGAAAAGCAGCATCTACCACAGTTTGTTTGGGGGGCACTTCAACACAGGAGAGACTCTCAGGTGGATCATAGTTGACCCTTTAACCACCCCTGTTTAAGGGAGAACGCTGCAGCCATTAGTTACTCTCCATCTCATAAGCCTGCTGGGAAAACTTTTTCTTCAGGTGCATCATCCACACAAGGATCTTAACTGATTTAATTTTAAGCTAAAACTACAGAACTTTATATTCAGCTTTTAGAATTTCCATGCTAAAATAACCGACAGAGAAAAGAGTGCTATCAGGGCACCTACAGCAGACTTTTTATGTCTTGTTCTTTCCTTGAAGAAGTCAAGGGAGACATATTTGATACTTGGGACTGGGGGATATTAAGAGGCATCTAGTGACTTTGTTTTCAGGCTCTGTGTATGAAAATTTGGAAGGAGCTTGAATGCAACTGCAAAGGAAAGGTTAATTTTAATAGTGTGTTACACACTGTCAAATCCAGCCTTAGGCTTTCTGTATGCCCTGACTTCTTCACCTAGTTATGAAAAGAGCCACGTGCAAAAGCGGGCTGGAACTGTGTTGAGTACCTACCGGCTGGTTCTGTCTATCAGAAGAATAAAGACTTTAAAGTGTAAAAATAATAGAAAATAACAGAAGAAAAGAAGAAACACACAGCCAAGCTAAATGCATGCTACTACCTAGGGGAAGTGAAACATGATACTTCGGAAATGGACTGAGGGGTATTTTTAGCCACAGCAGTTAGAAGCTCTTACTTCAATTAGAAAGCCCAGGTAAATTTATACTGCCACAGCTTGATGTCAGTCAGATGGAAACCTAGTAAGAAATGACAGTCTCTTTTTTGAGAGTTCTTTAATTCAGCTGGTCTTCACTAGTGAGCCTTCATGCCAGGGTCTTCCTCTGAAAAAGTCAGCCAAAGCAGTCCCAGCTTTCCCTCTACCAGGTAGCCAGCAGCAGTCAAAGCTGAGGCCAGAGCATGGTGAAGGCAGCCTCTTCTGCCAAGCACCAAGTCCAGAAGAAGGTGCAAGGGAAAGACAGGCACAGCTTGCCTACTGCATGGGGAGCATGGGGCAGGGTAGGCTGCTTAGTTTCTCCCTCTACCAACTTCAGTTATTTTGGCTCCTTGTTTCCATCAAATGCATTCCCAGCTACAGCCACCCAGTCCCCACAACACTGGGAGCTAATGAATATCATCATATGGGTGAAATATTTAAGTGAAGGAAATAATTCACAAATCTAAAAGAAAAAAAACCTTGAAACCTGACTGCATTTAATTTAGGCTTCACCACTCCTCCACTCCTGAGGACATAGCCTCAAGCCAAGCTATACTTTGCTCCATAGTGTTTGAGCTTGGATGCTGCTCTTTTGCAACCTCTCTGATGAAGAAGCAGGTGTGGGTTGCTACATTTCTTGCTGGCTTGCTTGACTGCACAAATCATCTGAGAAAAGAAACTCTTTCTGATACAAGGCTTTTAAACATTCCCTGTAAAAGCAGCAGAATAACAACCTTCACTGTTCCTCACTTTCAGGAAACACATAATTAGACAGAGGGCAAAAAAAACCTACTTGGTGCATCATTCCTTCGATCTGTTAACAACAGTAAGAAATCCTCCAGAAACTGGTAAGAACAATGCTGAAAAATTCCCTACCTAATCCTCAACCTGATTCTAACATGGGCCCTGCTAATACTGGAATCTGAGTGCTCAGAAAGATCTCTGTTTTGAACCTGGCAGTCTCACAGGCTGAGACTAAGGCTACGTGATGGCATAAAATTCTGATAAATGCATTCAGAAAGCTGCGACTATTGTAGATTCATAAGGACGACTGTAACATAAATCAGTAATACTGTCTCAAGACCCTTATACTCTGAATATGTAGACATGTACCTAAAGCACCAGGTAAGACTCCAGACAAACATTATTTTCTGGACAATTCGACTTTTCAGACTGCTTCATCCTTTGGCCTCTGTTACTGGAAAAAGACACTGTGTCAAAGTTTCTCAATCTGTGGTCCGTGCATCTGTGATGCTCCATGAGATATCAGATGCCAGTCCATTAAAATAGTGGAAAAAAAAAAAATAATGCCTGAAGACAGTCAGGATCCAGAGTCCCAAATTCAAAGAGCATGTATTTTACCATTTTATTAACAATTTTCAAATACAGTAAATTGTGTTTACCTGTCTGCTGAGCACAGTTCTTTTTTAAATTGTTACTTCTTCCAACCGCTAAACTGCATTTACAATATACGGTCAGGGTTCTTCACACAAAGGTCATCCAGTCCTTGGATTAAAGTCTGGTTTGCCTTGGCCGGGCACTCTTGTAAATTGTACATGGGAAGTACAATTACAATTAGAAGAGTCTTGTAAATTGTATGTCGGAAGATTGCCATTTTGGGGCTTAGATCCTCGCATTTCCAAACTGGGGAGTTTGGCTATACAGAAAATGCAAAATCCAGTTCTTTAAAGAGATGTAAGTATCCCTCAGAAAGAAAATCATCCTTATTCTGTTGTAGGATGAAGAGGAAAGAATACAAGAGACACTGCCAGTGTTTAGGAAACAGATTCCTGTCTATGGGGTAGAAAAGGAGTACCTGGTCTTCTGTTGCCAACAGAACACAAAGGAATTGCTGAAAGATCAGTACCATTTATTTCATACATTTTAAAGTCTTTGCTTCTTTCCCTCTCCCCGCCTTTTTCTCCCCAGGAGCCAGCTCTTTGATTTATTTACTGCAACACTCCTTAGGAAAATGTCTTGTTTAGACTCTCTGCAGTTTTACACTTGTCCTCTGAGTGGGTGTTACTTGCATGGCACTACTCAAAGGCGGCTGTGATATTGCTGGCACTGAGTGAGAGATATAACATATTACAGGGTATTGCTCAGCTTTCCAGAATAAACATTTGCTTGAGCAGAAACCACTTTATGGGTTTTAGCTTTTATATTTTCTACTTAAGCTTTTTGTGTATAACAAATTTCAAAAAAAAGAATGAAAAAATTTACCACCAGACAAAAGTGTGCACATTTAAAGGCTAAAAGTTCTGCTCAGGCACAGAAGAAAAGTAATTATTAGCCTGTCTGTCAGGAGAAGAAATATGTCACAACCTTTGAAATGGCATTCCAGTTTGCATTTCCTTTCTACACCTTGTTCGAAGCAGATACTACATTTTGGCAGGAAATGAAGAGCAAAAGCTTCCTGCAAAGATAAACTTCATGACTCAATTTATATAAACCAAACCTTCTCTGAGTTTAACATTACCCTTTACAACAACCTGATTGAATGCTCCAGGGTGAGCAGAAGACGGATGCTGCGTAGGCTTGTGCACACTGCCCGTCACTCCCTTGCTGGTCCTCACACACCTGACTCCTCTGTCCCGCTGGGTTTGTGTCTTCCATGGGGACTACCAACACAACCACCAGGCTAAGCACCACCCAGGCACAGGGGTGCAGCCTCTGTGGATGCCAGCGGAACTGCGCCCACCTATACCACAGCAGGACTTTACCCACTGCATGTGCAACCAGTTTGGGCCGCTGCCGGCAGAATGTCATCTCCTGCCACAGGTGACACAGGAGGAGACATTTTGCTTTTCAGGCCTCAAGAAGGTGCCCAAATTAGATTGCATCTGCAGTCCTGGGAGGGTCCTCTGCTCTGCTAACCACTCAGCACCACATGCACCCAAGGAAAAAATGTTTACCTGGTGTGGCCACGGTTAACCTTTTTTCCTTGCTGAGACGGTGCCCATGGATGAATTCACTCATGGAAGGGGGGCCCCTCAGAAGATATGATTCTGTGGAGGCGGGATGAGGGGGGGCTCTTAATAATTTCTGGAGGTAGGTCCCTGAAGTCCTGGGATGGCTCTGATCACAAAGGGAAGGTGAGAATAGTCTTGCAGGAGATCCAAGAAAAATACATATGGAAACAAAAGAGTTTTACTTTAATTACCTTTCAAAGCCTCATGAATGACAACATCATGTTAATTTGCTTAACAGGTAAAAACCAACTAGTGTTGCCACCCCACATCATTTCCACAGCAGGGCACCTTGCCTGCATTGGAAATCTTGGTTCATGTTAGGGGAGGAGGAGAGGAGGTTGAGTTACATCTCAGCATCCTGGAGTCGACAGGTACAAGGCTCCCTGAATGTTCTCTTGGTTTTGCATTGTGACTAGAGCATACAAGAAAAGGGAATGATTATGTAGGACTTCTCTAACAGAGAGTCCCCTTTTCATCTTCAGAACCATGGAGATCCCCACACCTACAGAGCTTTGGCAGGGCAGTCACAAGACAAGATGAGAACTCACTGCTTGAACAGTGAAATATTTGCATTAGGGTATGAATGGCAGCCATCCCCCTTCAAAAGGTTACTTGCTCCCATGCAGAAAAATTGATCTGAGTGAACACATCCATATTCTTTTCACACTGATGAAGAACAAGCGAGCACCAGAGCTTAACAGAGAGATGCACTTTCTTTTGTGTTAAGCGCTGAAATGCTTATAGAGCACAATCCTTTTTTTATTTCAGATGCTCGTTACGGAAAACCTTAAGGAAAACTTGTTAAAGAAAATACATTCACACTAATATTAAAGACATACAAGATGCACTGAGACACTGACAGAATATAGTTCAAAACACTGCATTAAGGGGGAGGAGAAAACATAGTGAGTAGGTGGATCAGAACCACATGTCGCCAGGCTTTGAATTTCATATTCATATTCTCCCCACCTCCTTCTCCCCAGTCAAAGTACGAAAAAAAAAAAAAGAATTATAATGTTTACAATTCAGTGAACGACTTTAATGAAAGTCTGGCCACTGCACTGTACTGTAAAGATCACTGCATGCATACCTTTTCCTCTGAGTGCCACTGCTGACCAGTAAGTTTGGTTGCTGTGGGCCCTGACTATGCAGGAGGAAAGTGTCTATGCTTGGCACGGTGGCTGATGCCTCCTCACTTACTTTAGGGCTGCCGATCTTGCTCTTTCCAAGCTTGCCTTTGCTGCGTCGGGACTGCTCATGGTCGAACTCTAAATCCTCCAGTCGCTGAGTAAGGGCAAGTTTTTGCTGGATAGCCATGCGCAACAGAGAGTTTAGGGTCTTCTTCTCATCCTCCGCAGCTGCTAGCTGCCTCTGCATCTCATCCAGCTGCGTGACGTACTCATCACATCTGGGAAAACAAACAAGGCAGAAATCTTGGAACGAGTCCAAGAACCAACCCTACAGGTGATCGCATTCCTGGGCTGCAATTACAGGGACAGATTCACATCCAAGCTCTCGCTGAACCTAACCCTGGAAGCAGACAGCCTGAATTCTTCCATTCCCACTTTGAAAAAATTTGGACTTGGATCTGAATGCCAACACTTCTCATTCAGCAGGAGAACCTGTATCTAGAATATCAGAGTAGTCTATGACAACGTGAGATGTTTCTAATGCAGAAAACAAGCAATTGGAAAGAAGGTTTGAGACTATCTCCAGGTTAGACCACAAATAACAATTCTGGGGGCTGGTTCAGCTAGTAACTCACCGGAGATAAGAATGTCTACTAACTAGATAATACTATTTTTCATAGACAGTAATATCTACTTAAGCAAAATATTACAAAAAATTATGAAAAAAAGACTGCAAGTACTTTGAACACTTGACACATCAGATTTTGTGAAATGAGAAGCCCTCAGTTGTTTGCCATTGTTAACTGATTAAAGAGGTACTATTCAGGAAACCCCACATCTGGAAGTTATTTCACATTTACTGTTAAATCTCTTGGCAGTGTGCTCAGGTATCCATTGCTATGGTCACCTGCTCCTTTTTAACCCTCAGTCTCTTTTATCTGCATGAAAAACTGTACCTTTTTCATTTGCTTTAGATCTCTGAGACAGATTTGGAAATAAAACCACTTTCTCATGATTTTGTTAGCATTTAAGACTGAATTTAATTTAGTTCCGCTTTAAACAATGATTCCTAAAGTTAACAGGAAGAGCAAGGCATTTCAGGATGGTCTTAGTCACTTTTTGAAGTGAAATAGCTTCAGTTTGTTAACGATAGACCATCTAATCAGTAAGAACCAAGAGTGATAAATGTATACCAGCAGTGAAATGATTCACAGATAGCAGTACTGTCTAACCACCAGACATTTGTGGCAACATCCAAGAACTTTTCACATTAAATGATGCAGCTCTCATCAAATCTCCTCCCCACGGGATCTGTATAAATCTAAATAGCTTTGCTGTGTAATTACAACTGTGTAATGGATGAGGATTTAACTTTATCAGTACCACTCACAGAAAACAAGCATAGAAAATAATTTTAGTTTTCCTTCTCAAAATACGTGATGCAATAAACTTTTGAATTATTGCAACTGAGGGATGAAACTAATTTCTCTGAAACTTTAATCTTCTCCTTGGGGAACAGAAATAAAGTATACTCAAAAATTCGTAATTATTCTTCACACACAAACACATATATATATATTGCACTATCCTTTTGAATAATTCAGGCACTGGAAGCAAAATTGCTAAGTCAGCCATAGTTTCATCTCCGTTTTCAGTATTATCTTTCTTCTACAGGACCTTAATAAACATGAGTGTCTCTATTCAAGCCTTGAGGAAGAGAGATATTTCTGAAACGTTGGTTGGCTTAAAGCCAACTTGCACACCTATTTCTGCTCCAAGCTATGAGATGTCTATTGATGCTTTAGCCAGTTTCTTTGACAGAGACATTAGAATGAAATCAGCATTCTGGAGATTAAATTCAATTTATTTGAAATAGGAATTACTATAATGTCTGTGTTATCAGAGTTTTAAAGACTCATTCTTGTAACCAGATGGATCCTGTATCCATCTCTTATTCTTTCCTGCTTTCCTCTTTGTCTAGGAGACATCTTTTTTTTCCCCAAATATGTTTTCTGTTGAAAAATTTAAAAAGTAACACCTGCAGCAACACCTGTAGCACAGTGCCACTAGAGGAACGAACTGCCTTGGTATAGTATGCCAATAAGCCAATTTTGGTTTTGGAAAAAGATTGGTTTTCTTCAGGCCTTAGGATGTGTTCTTGGTATTTAGGCACCTGCTTTGTAAAACAGCGTAACTGAGCAATTAAGAAACATAAGCTCCATGAAGGTGGATATTACTAAAGCAGACTTAGACAAACCTGCTTTTTGTTACCTGCTGTGAACTATAACAAGCTGGCCCTAGAAACCTGGATATACTAGATGCTGTTAGCTGGTCTCATACTTGAGACAAAACCAATTTTGTTAATACAACATTTTCCCACTGTTCTGATTAATTACATGCCCTTCCTAGAAGTCTCCCCATAACAGCAACCCCACATTTTTAGCAGTTCACTGCAGTGTTTGGGTGATTCCAGTCATCTGACCTTCACCACGACTTGAAGTTTCCTATTATTTTTCACAAACACATGGTCCATTGTCTCTGTGTTTTGTTGCTCAAGCATGTGGGGTTTTTTTGAGAAACAGTGTTCAGAAAGGTTTAACCTAAATCAGTCAAGTAAAGGCCATAATTAACTTCAGAAACTGCTGAATTAACAGCCTCACATCTCCTTGAAGTCTGCAGCAGTGAAGGTTATTCCATGTAGTGGGAGGTAGCTACTGCCTGCAGCTATGGCATTTCCCTTTGCTGAAATATTCCCTGCTATGTGCAAGTGTGGGATAAAGAGAGCAGTGTTTCCAATTAAAAAAGAAAAAAGCATTACATGCATCCATATTGCCTTTTGCCCATACGTTTTATAAACATTTGTGAAGTCTCACAGCATACCGAGGAAGAAAAAGGTTAAGAGCTCCTAAGAGAGATGACTTCTGGCACGGCACAGACCGTTGCAGACCGAGCAGGGCTCCAGGATGCAGCAGGGCTCTGAACGGGTCTTTCAGAAGTACTCAAATAGCAGTGAATAACAAAAATTAGGTTATGTCCTCATGAGTCAGAGGTCTTTCCCAATTTCTCCCTTGCCCCAGGACAGGTGTAAGCTGCAAGTGACTATTAAATAAACAGCACTGTTATCTTGCTGTCTGCTGGTCTACTTATTGCCAGAGCAAAAGTCAAGATTTCACCTATTTCTCATTTCTCTTGTCTCAGAAAGGAAGCAGACAGACACGTAAGCCCGCTTATTTTGTATGAACTGATCCAAGAAGTTTATATAGGAGTTTAAGGGATTTCTAGTTCTATCTATCTCTCTTGTCTAGGAATGCAAACCAAATACCGAGTCAGGCTTATGCATAATTTAGGTAACATAAATCATAGCAGAGCTTGAGCTAAAACCCAGCGACGCTGACAGTGACAGATCCCTGCTCTAGCCATATAAGCATAATTCTCTTGTGCTCGTAAGTTCTCATCTAGGATAGCTCCAGGACCTGTCCGAACTTCCTAGTCCATCTCTTCAGCACACTTTTTTCTTTAAATATTAATCACGAGAAAATGCCTTGATGGATGGAGAATAAAGTCAGTGCATGCAGTATCAGGACTGTGGCAATACAGTAAGTAATATTTCTTGCTCTCTTCTTTTGAGTATCTCTATTTAGGCTGGGAAAGCAAGCACGTGTCAGGACTAAGTAAAATTAGCTTTCTGAATCCCTTTAGGGTCCAGTTTTAAAAGTAGTTCCTTCTCTCCTTCAGCACTAGACTTCTTTTCCCTTCCTCTTCCAGGGAAACCCCTACTCTAGACGGGAAAACTAATGTTTTAAAGAATATATTTTTCATTTGCCCTCTGGATGAGCGCTGGCCACCAGCCCCACTGCTTCCCACTCTCACAGCTCCCACCTGGGTCAACAACTCGGGGTTGGAGTGAGGGGAAACGACAGGAGGGGCAGGAAAGGCTCTCAACGTTTTTTCTGGTCTGGAACTACCAGAAGCAGCCCAGGACAAAATAAGCAGGCTAAAGGCAGGAGCTGCAGATCTGACCAGCAGCACATGGCCCTGGCATGGAACAGGAACTTTAACTCTGCTTCTGCCAACCCCATGCGTCCCCCAAGAAAGAAGGTTTTATATGCTGTTGCTTTCTCTTTCTTTTTTTAAGAGAGATGTTTGGGGAAAAGGGAGTTTGAACTGTATTGAGGACATATTCTTGATGGGTCTGAAATAAATTCAGAAAGGGATCACAAGGCTAATGCAGAAGGAAGAAGGAAGCTGTAGAGATCAGAACCACAGAGATTTTGGATTGGGAAAAAAACAGTCCCAGAAGGAAAAAGAGCAAAAGTAGAGGTACAAGGAGGACAGAAGGACTTTTGAGGGGGAGGAGAGAAGAACTGAAGAAAGAACTTAAGGAACGGAAGGATGCACAAGTGGCAGGGGAAGTCACAGAAAAAGGATGGATCTTGCTTTCTGCATAGGGGAGCTTTGGAGAAAAGTGTCATCTTTGCTGTTCAAACCAGAAACAGGTGTGCTGTGCTCTCCTTATAACGTGGTATGACCTTTATCCAGAGCATTTGAGGGAGAAACCATACAGTTCAGCACCAGAATGAACATCCATTTGGGGACCAAATGAACAGGAAAGGATGGTTTATGAAAGAGAAAGGATATCGCTTTATCAAACAGTATATGAAATCATTTTCAGAGCTATAATATAAGCCTACTGTCAGAGGGATGTTCTCCCTACAGTACAAATTCAGGATTAACTACCATGTGATGCAGGATAACCATGGAAACCACTGTTTTATTCAACAGAAGAATAAACAATTGCTTTTTTATGCTGGAAGTTGCTATTGCATCAGTTGTTACTGCATGAAGAATCTTAGTCTTGTATTTTCAAACAGATTTCTCTTCTTGAACAGACATCTATAGTATATCGGCTGTCTGTTATTTAAACAAGTGTTATTCCAAATGGAGTATTCAGAATGAGTCAATGATTTGTACATTTAGGAATATTGATTTAATTATAAAGGCCATTAGATTCCAGGGTGAGGAAGGAAAAGGAATCTTTTACAACAGAAAAATCTAGGAGCACACTGATGTGCAAGACCTTGCAGTGAATGATTTTTTATAACTGTGCTCAGAAAATACTGGGCAAAACTTACAACCTCAAGGGCAGGGATACATTCACAGGCCACGCAGTGAGTATTTAATCAGTACTGCATGGAGTTCACCAGCAGCAGTAGATGCTTTGAGTGGGGTTTATCTCTACTAAGATTAGATATTTACAAAGTGGAAATCTGTAACTTGGCCAGTCACACAGATTCCCTTTATAGTTCATGGAAGAAAAACAGAAGCTTCATTGCATCCTACACGCAAAGCATCTAGAAAAGGCTTCTAGATGAATGGCACCCTTCAAGCCTAACTCTCACAGAAAAGATGCTGCCATCTCCCACCAGCTTTAGGATATGCCTTAAACCCAACAGAAGTGTACACTCAGGATGCCCAAACTGGGTAAAGAGCATTCAGTACACCAACAACCTAACGTTCCCTTTAAGTAACAACTTCTAAATCTTTGCAAACTTCTTTTACCTCATAGGTTGATGATTTATGCTCCATGCAAGACCCTTGTTTGCTTTATGGTCATGATGCCACTCCTCTCCTCTGGAGTTAGTAGCCTTCCAGGTAGTCTTATAGAGTTAGTATATTCATGTATCTCCTACAGCTTGCAAATAAAGATCGACACATGCATTTCTAATACACACACACCACTTGGCTTTCTTGAAGAAAATCTTTAGATGCCAATGAAATCAATGGAGCTACCTTGGTTCACACCACCTGCTGAGTTTGTTCTTCATTTCCGTTATGGCACTACACGTACTCTTCTGACGATGAACCTATGATGAATTTGTATAGAGCACCAATGTGACGGCATGTAAATGTCCCTTCTCCTTCCTTCCCACCTCTCCCAGCTTCTGCTGCCACTGTCACTAAGCAACAAAGGCCCTCAGAAGGCTGGAAGAGGTGAGATGGTACCTATAAACCGTGGGGAGCACCGGAGAGATGTTGGCATGAGGCATGAAGACTTCTTACCGCTTATGGACTAAAGCACAAGCAAGAAATCTGCATTGTGTTTGACCATATGGGGAGAAAAACGCCTTGATATAACAGAATAATTTCCTGAGGATACTAATTTCCTTGTGTGTTTGGGAATTAAGAATTTATCGATGAAAGTGTTGATCTTTAAAAAAATTATTTTTAGGTAACCTTTTAAAAAGCAGCTAAAACCAAAAGCTCTTCTGAAGGTGTGGGAGAAGGAAGATGAGAGATGATTAATTACTGTCCTGCCAGGAGGAACTACGTTACAGAAGATAAGTGAAACTTTTATCCTGTGAAGGAGAAGATAATTGAATATCACAGCAAGAAAAATAAGAATTCGTGCTGGAGTGGGAAATTGTAGTGGCCTCACAATTATTAGTGCTGGATTACAGCATAGGCTGGTTGATGAAATAGATTTTCCTAATAGTAAGTAATTACCTCACGATATGAAAACATGGGGTTCTGAAGATCATCATTAACCATACGATAGCTTTACGACAGAATCACTGCGTACTTCTGAATGTGAAAATCAGCCACATAAATCTATTATTTGATTTCCACTTTAAAAAGCCCTATAAATGCAAATATACTGGAGGTTGACACTGGCATTTATAACACTTTACTCAAGGTTGTATTGACATTGCTATTCTCCAGCTTTATTTTCCAAGACATGCATCTCAATAGCACTTGAAAAGCTTGCAGGTTTTGCACAGTGTGCACTCTAAGATTCATTCACCTTCATCCAGCAAACACCTGACCTTGCAGAAGATAATTTCTGTCTCTCCTCCTAAGCATCCAATATCCACAGCTCAGTCTGTTCTCACTTAGCACACACATATTTACTTTTACAGTGCTGAGCCAGACGGTGAAACCATTTCCCTTACCTGGTTGCAAACATTGCTCTCAAGGATGAGAAGGTTGCTGCATCTTCCTTCAAAGCCTTCAATTCATTCCGTAGTTTGGTCATGGTTTCAGTCACCATTGCTTTTTCATTTTCATATTTATTCTTCAAATTGGCTAGTGCCACTTCAGCTGTCTGAAAACACAAACAAGGATATATGCTTATGAGACAGATATCTGGTAACAGCTAGGATCCCATGTTTGATTTTACTTTAGATTTCCTTCTTCCTTCATACAGTAAAAGAAAGTTAGACTTGAGCTTCATTGCATTGCACCCTTTAATATCTTCTTTTAAGTTGTACTCCATGAAACCAGGAAAAGGAGAAAGCAGTTGAAAGGACAAAGCCAATTTCAATGCACTGGCAAAAACTCAATACCTTAACTGTCTCTGCAAAACTGTGCAGCTGTACATTGAGGGCTCAGGCAAGTGAGTAAGTTACTACAGCTTAAGGAGTTGCTACCATGTCATCTGAGCTGCAATAAACAACCAGGTGTGTCCCGTGACCACGTTGCAAACAGGACACACAGCATGTGGGACTCGGCCTCTGTAGCCAAGGTGGGAACTAACATGTTTTGCCTCATGATTCCTGCCAGCTGAGGCTTTCCTTGGGTGAGGTGACTGCTAGGACCTGACAGCTTGCTTTTATGTCTGAGCACTGGCAATGCCTACTGTTGTGCAAAACATCATTATTTTGGCAGTTTTAACCACTACAAAAAAGAACAAAAGAAGTGTAAATTACAATTCTCATTTAATAGGAAAGCAAGTGTTTATAATCATCCTATTCCTTCATTTTTTCTTCTTCCTCCTTTCTTTTTTCAATTTCATCCATTACATTTCTTTAACTGATTGCCCTACTGCTTTTAATAGTTATGTATGCCTTATTTCTGCAAGAGTTGAACCTTCTGTTTTACCTATGAAGTCTGGAATAATTTTGAAGTTATTCAAAATACATAGTTTTATAGAGGCTTTATACCTACTGCTGCTTTGAGACATTTAAAATTATTGCCATTGCATGAGATGAAGAAAAAAAATGTTTCCTTTTACATTTACTCAGGGTGGGTTATGGTTGTTTTTTCACTTCATTTACTGCATAATAAGTTGCAGCATTTCATACAGGCAATCAGTTTCCCCTGTTGATCTTGTAGGTTCTTGAGTCATCACCAGGGGAGAGAGATGTGTAGAAGAACATTAGTTTAAAGCAACCAGCAAGGGGACATGACAGAAGATGGTAACGGCCAAACAGTTTGCAACTTATTTTAAACTCAGTTTTCTGAAACTCAATAAATTTCCCACTAACAATGTCTCTTAACAAAAGGACATATTACCATCTCCTACTAAAATACAACTCTATTCATTTGTGTCTGGGGAAATAGCACAGTTATAAATGGCAGCATTAAAATAATTCATTTATTTTTCCCAATTGTACACTCACCAATAATGTTTTCTCTACTTTCACACTAGTTTACACTGAGAGAAGAGATTTTAAAAAATCACTAGTAACTACCTGTCATTTTAAATAGATGGGTTTTTCCATGCCAATTTTGAAATCATCAGCAATACACATTAAAAAAATCAACCACTTAGGGCTATATTCAAATAAATGCAGCTTTTCTCAACCTTGCTGACATATGCTTTGGTGTAATGTAGGATGGTAGGCACCATCCTACGCCTTGGCAGGATAAAGCAGAAATCGTCAGCTTTCTATCTGTTTTCAGCCATCAGCAAAAATGTACACTCATAAATTAACATGGAGAAGAAGGATTAACTATGTTTAATAAAACTGCTTTTTTGAAGGGAAATCTAGGAAATAGTGCATCAGGGGACAAATTCCTATTTAACAGATACAATTAAATCAGATTTATTTAAGAATTTTCAGGTCACTAATGAGGCAGAAGTGATTTATGAAAGCACAGGTAGACTCTATAGCTCAAACTGAGTTCTGCTTTGCCCCTAAGGCAGGAATTCAGATGTCTTTGCTTTGTAAGAGAAATACAGCCCTATGCCCCTTAACCTATCATAACTCATCTTGGAATACAGAATTCATGTAAAGATTTTCCTTTGTTTAGGAATGAAAATGAGTTAAAGATATGTGCCACCTAATGCTAGACTTTAAAAAAAAAGCTGTTTCAGCAGTGGGATTACATGTTCCATGTAAACCCAATAATTTACACATCACTGAAACTGTGCACAATGATCAGACAGATCATTGTGATCCCTATGTTTTAGTCTGGATGTCAGGGTAAGTTAAATGGACGTGCAATACTACAGGATGAAAAATAACTTAGAAATATCATTTAGTTGGTGAATAAAGGTAACAGAGGAAGGACTGTGTCAAACCTTCAAAACTTTTTTTCTTCCTATTAAGAGTTTTCCATAAAACAACATATAGGAAATGAAGCATAAATTGCAAAACCTGTTGGAAGTGCCTGGTGGCTCTCCACACACCAGACAAGCTTTTGAACACACCCCTTTGCAGGCTGTTAAGGGTCTCCCTTCTGAAAGTCTCCTAAGTGAAGAATGAATGGGCACAAGTGCTCTACTAGAGAACCAAATAAAACTAACAAAAATGTGTTTTTAATAGGCAAGAGAAAGAAGGGGGAAGCAAGCAAGGGTAGCTTCTGTTCGAAACCTGCAGACGGGCAACCAGGGCCAGCAGAGCAGCAGTGCATTGCTTTAGCGTGAGGCTTGAGAGGTCCTTGCAAGAGCCAGCGAGAGCCCGACTGTGCGGATGCTCATGTTACCTACAGCTCATCGGTTTGGGACAGCAGCAGCTCTAGTCTAAATCATTTCTATTTGTTCCCCCTCTCAGCCAATCTCCCAAATTGTGCTTGTTGAACCACATATGTGTGGCTGTGCCTGAAACCAGTTCTGTGGGATAATCTAGATTTTAAAAACCTGGGGCGAATGGTGCCTTCGGAGTGTGCTCTGAAAGGAAGGATGGGGCAAATAAAAGTCTGCATTCCCCAAGCAGTGGGTGCCAGAAGGAAGCAGATGTCCAGGACCTGGCTTTGTTTTTAACAGCTCTTTCTGAAGCATTTGGTTTTAAGCTGTGGTTAACTACAAAACTGTGTTACAGAAACGGCTCCACATAAAAATGCAACCTCTGAGCAACACACATGGAAATGGAGAGCACAAGAAAAAGATGAAAACACAGAAAAATGTGTGACTACTCTTCAGTGAAGTAAATAACGCAATAAGACAGGAGAGGGACTAATGACACTCCTGACAGGGGACCAGTCCTGAAGAGAAACTGGGCGAACACACTACCCAGCCACTCAGCAAGCCACCTGGGGACACAGGATTAATGGCTCGCAGAGCACATAGCATTTGCTGTGCAGAGGACATGACCTGGATCTGACAGCAAGGCTGGGAGGGAGCAGAGAGCTCCAACACCTGGACTCCCGCGGGGTGTGAAACACTACCCAGGAAGAGAGAGCTGGGGCACGCAGAGCTCAGCACCCCCATCCCCAACACCCAGCCACGGAGCCACACAGGCTGCGGTGGGCACACACCCGAGCCCAGGACCCAAGGCACTGCCACAACTAATGACGTCCTTATCCTTACAGAAGAGATGCCCATAACCATCTGCCTAAAGTTTGCCACCTTAATCCTGAAATCCGTGAACAAACCTCATTTTCTCTATATATTCACATTCTAAGATGACTTCATATCCCATTTACTTTACATTAGCAGTGTGAGAAGCAAACTAAGTAAAAAAACTGTTGCTGAAAGAATATTAAGTCCTACAGTGATAAGTACTTTATTTTTTCACACAAGAAAGCAGAACAGTAGCCTGTTATTTTAGTGCAGAAATTGTACGTGGTACTGGATCTTTCCACGCAGCCTCACTTTCCCAGCTGAAATTCTACTGTATTCTGTCTATATAACATCAGGGCGTTTATTTATAGATAAGGTACTGTATGTCTGGGGTTATCAAGTTATTTTTTCTGAAGGACTTTTATGGCAATCTCAGTTATGGGAGCTGGAGACACCATAGTTACGGCCAATACAGGTGTGAAGTTCTTGCTGACTCAACTCCTTCCCATCGAACTATTTAGCCATGAGAACAACCGATCATTTTTCAATCAGAACCTCAGGATATTAAATTCCCCTCATAGGCAGCTTTGCTTTCTGAATATTATTAGAAATCAAAATCAAAACCATTATTGAGCTGGTCCTAAAAGTTATTATGTCATTAATTTTATACTACTTCACAATTTATGCTACTTGGTAACACTAATGCTGCTTGGGTTTGCTCCACAAAACTGGTGCTGACACAGTAATTACGGCTACGAATAAATGGATACATAAATCAAGACAGGTAAACAAGCAAGCTAGCAAGATATACATGCCTTGCTATCTTGAACAACTGATTTAATAATTCATTTTCCCAGGCTTAGGTTCGCAGCTTCTTAGAGCAAATCTTGCTTTCTTTTTTGTGTTACAGGGTTTCGCGTATTCTGTTTGCGGCCCAGCCTAATGCTTAACACTTTATATTACTAAAGAAAATTTAGCTGGATTCAAAAGAAATATCATCAGATATTGCCAAATGCATTAAACTAGGCAACATCTTGTCAGGTTCAAACAGAAATTTATTGTATGCTGTTAAAGATTTAAAAGTGCAACTGCACTGCTGGAGCGGCAGGCCCACTGCAGCAGGAGCAGACAGAAAGAGACTCCTTCAGGGCTCTCCTGCAGTCAGGTAAGTTACTGTGAAAAGAAGTGAACACAATTCAAGTCGGGAGGCAGAAACTCTCTTCTTTTTCTCTTCTGATGAACCGTTTGCCCCTGTGTACCTGGACAACAGAGGATGTCAGTGCACTGTGACGAAGTGTGTTGCCAGGAAAACGGCAATTCTCATTTTAATCTGATGTGGCAATACTTCTGGTGGTCACTAGATAGCACCCGCGCTTCCCTGGTTAAGGGTGTGACTTCACTACTGAAATACAGCCCGAAATACCAGACCCAGGGGGCTGCTACTGGTCTTCCCCCCTGGACCTGAATGGCGAGATTCTCTAGGAAGGCCAGGTCTTGCCATTGTTACAGTGCATTTGGTTGCGCTCATCTTGCTTTCCCATATTACTCCAACCAAAAAAGCTTCACCTGAAGTGTCTCTGTTTTGAGTGCTAACAAATACAGGCGTTTTGCAATAGTATTGCTAGAAAGCACGACGAGATGTGCTGTGGCCCCTCTGGAGGCTGAAGGATGGGCCAGGGCATCCAGCCCCCCACCAGCGGCAGGGCTCCCTCTCGCAGGGGCCTGCCGCAGCTCTCCCCTGCTACCTCGGGCACCAGCAGTGTCTTGCCGTACTACATAAGGGATGAAAAGATATAATTTCGTATTGATTTCAGCTTCATTAGGGCTTGAGGATGAGTTTTACCAAATCAAAATTCTAGCTCTTGTGGTTCTGGACCGCATGTGAAAAACTGAACCACATGTCCTCTGTAGGGTCATCTAAACTGAAACCCACATGGGAAAAATATCCCCAGCCCATTGCTGCTTAAAAACTTCTTATTTTGCAGGGGAAGAACTCAAGGAGATGAATCTTGACTCCTGTTTTTTGAACATGAGATATGCTTTGTGTCCTGGGAAACACACATCACTTGAGGCTGGCAGTACTGCTAGCGCATAATAAAACTCCCCCCCCTAACTTTCAATTTCTCCTATCCTTTTATATTATTATGTCTTTTAACTTGAAAGTTTGACGATGTTGGTATTTGGTTTGCATGAACAGTATTGCAAGATTCTATACCCAGTTGTACAGTTACCAATATCTATGCTGCTATCCAATAAATAAAAGTTTAATTAATAGCACTTCCTTACTCAACAAATCTATCTTTCCCATTTCAGTGAGCACGCTTTAGGACGATGCTTTATTTCTGACAGCAATAAAAGAGCAAGACCGAGCTAGATTATCTGGTAGTATTAAAAAATAAATGATAGCTCTATGCCAATGGAAAAAAATCTTTAATTTGGAATCTAAACCCATATACCTCAATTACATCTTAATTACATTTTAATTACATGGAAAATCCACATATAATTGCTCAGAGCTATTATTGCTTAGCTAGAGATGGTATTTAATTACTTGAATTAATATTTAACATGTGTTGTATTGGAGGGGAGCAAATGCTATAAAAGACTCAATATATATTGAAGTATTGCTGCAATTTAAAAATCCCCAGTACTCTAGAAATGCAGTTACAGATCCAACAATCAATTAAACTTGAAACTGTAACTTCAGACTACTTGACTATTGGGAATTTTAACACTGAAATCCCATCACTGTCATCAGCTAATAGTATCCCAAGCTGTTAACCAGGATTCATGCCCCCATGTGGTGACCACTGCGCTGCTTTTAGATGAGAAAAGTCCCAGGCAATCTGGAATGACGACTCTGCCACTGCAGCCTCTTGCATTCAGACTTAATTCTGGGCATAAGGAGATGCACCAAAACAAATAAAACTACCTGCATGCTTAAATTTAACTTTTTTAAGTGTTTGCAGACCTGGAATCTAATGGATACAAAGGGCTTGGGAGGATATATTATGCAAAAAAAAAATTGACAGTACTCTTGAAAAACACACCATTACATGGTCCTCTTTTGGCATTTGATATAATATGTGGTAATTCTCAGCTTATTTGCATTGGTGAAACATCAAAAATAAAGTGGTTTGATGAATTTTTTTTTAGCTGTGAAGATTTTCAAAATAATAATTTGAAATTTTTTATTCTTTTAAAATATAACTTTATAATGAATCCTTCTCAAAATAAAAAATTGCAGTTACTGTTTCAGTCAGCTTTATCACATAATGATGTTGTCCTTTTTATTAAAAAAAACAAACAAACCCCTGATTTTATTTCTTAAAGGATTAAAAACGTGACAATGGCAGGGCAAATTATTTCTGACTAGAAAGAAAAATCTTTAAAAAAAATTCCAACCACCTGTAATGAAAATAACTCAGCATTTCACCTGTTGTCTTATCAAAGAAATGCCTAGCTTCTGTACAATCCGAAGCCACTGGTCACACTCTTATGCCTGCCATTCTCTTCCTGAGGCGCGCTTTAGCTTTTATAGCATTTATTTTTAATCCCCTTAAATTTGCTGGGGGGCATTCAAGTTTTGCAGCCTGTGGAGTATTACCAAGAGCCAAGAAGAACGCAATGGGTTGTTTGCACCATCTGTTCCACTACTGCAGGGCCACCTGCAGCTGCTGAGGTGCTGGCCCAGGTGGTCTCCCCTACGCTTGCCCTCCCCACCCGCTCCAGCAGTACCTGCCCTGGCGAGGGGTCAGCGCGCCCCTGCGAGCCTCTCCGTGCACACTCCATTTTGTTTTCCAACGTTGGCAATCTTATCATTTTGCAATAATACTAGCACAACATGCCCGTGCATCAGTCTGGGTGGTAGCTGATCCCTCCCCACCCCCTCTGCTTTTCTCTTGCTCCACAGGAAGGGCTCTTCTGCCTGTGCCCTTGGTGAATGGTGGGTGCTGAGAAAAGCAGAGCTAAAGAGCTTAAAGAAGAGGCGGGGAGGGAGGGAAGAAAGGTCTGCCCTCACCATGATTGAGTGAGAGGCTAAATAACCTGTGAGTAAAAACCTCTCCTCCGAAATACTCCTGGGAAAGCTTGTAAGTGACCTATATAAATAACAGACGTTCCCAACTGACTGCTTTATTAGCATCTTACCTGCTTGTTGGCTTTCAGCACTGCTCTCAGCGTTGCGATCTGCTCCCGCTTCGTACTCAGGAGTGATTTCAGTTTCAGTATCTCTTCCATTAAGGCCTCCTTGTCTTTATCGATCATGGGCGCCAGCTCCCGAGCTGCAGCACGCTGGCGCGACAGCTGCAGTGACCGATCGACAGCCTTCTGCAAGTGCTTGATTTGGTCCCTTATTATGGCATTGAGGTTGTAGATGTTCATCGGCTCTTTACGGATGTCACTGGTATCGGAGACAGGGGAGGAAGGAGGGGCTGTGATGACAGGAGAAATGGTAGGTGTTTTCGTCGGGCTCTGTTCCTTGCCAGGCTCTGTGGCTTCTTTTGTCACCTGCTCGGTCGGGGTCCTGGCTTCTACAGGCGACGCCACCCCCCTTCTGGCAAGCCGTGGGGAAAGGAGACCTCGAGGGTCGTCCGGTCCTTTCAGGCTCCCGCTGCGGGTCACTCTGCTTTGCCTGTAATAGTCCAACATGACCCTGTTTGGTGTCTCGTTGTTGCACAGGCAGACGTGATGGTAGAGCTGAGCCAGCTCCTCGCTAAATGTCACCAGCTCGTCCTGGGCAGTGTTGAGGGTATTATGGTTTTCATTTGCTATGCTTGTCATCCTTTGCAATTCCTTTTCCATGTGGACCATTTTTTCCTGGCTTTCCTTGGTTGACTTCTCCAGGTTTGTCACCTGTTCGTCATACGTCTGGATTCTGCTCTCATACTTGGCCTTCTCTTCAGTGTAGTTTTCCACGTATTTATTATATTTCTCCTTTAAGGCTTTGATTTCTGCTTTAAGGTCTATCACCTCAGTAACAGCTACTTTGTATTTACATTCTAGGATCTCCAAGCCATTGATGTCCACTTCATAGTCGTGTGCTTCCTCGCCGGGGTCTCGGCCCTTCTCACAGTCAAGCTCAGCTTTCAGCTCCTTGTTGCTCTGCAGTCCCCTCATGGCGTTGACGTGCTCCGTGAGCCTGTGGACTCGCTCATGTTGCTCGGTCAGGGCTCCCTTGGTGTGCTCCAGCTGTGTCTGAGACTCCTGCAGGTTTGCCAGGAGAATGGCCTTCTCTCTCTCCACCTGCAACAGAGTCAAAGTAAGAAACCCAGGATCTTGTACTACCCGTGCTGAACACCAAACTCTGCAATCACATTCATCTCTTCCACTCCCCTACTCTGCATACATAACTTGAAGGCTTCAAAGAGATTTTAGCCATATATCCCTGAACTGTAAAATTAAGTCAGAGAGAGGTACGTATAACTTGTACAGGGTTATGAAGTCCCAGCCTCTGTTACAATTCACAATATCACTAGATCACGATTTTACACGTTGCCCACTGAAGAATTACTTAGTGCCTAGCACTAAGTGCCTAGTCAGCTAGAGTGATGATAATAGATTTATTACGACATATGTTCCCCAAATTTTAATAGGCATGAACTGCATCACTGCCAACTATCAGTCAACTATAACCCTTTCCACTGGTAGATATGCATTTCTCAATGGAGTTTGAATTTACATTTCCCATGAATAGCTCTACCAATGCTTCACAATATTTATTTATATCTTTGGACTGTTGCAATCTTTCATTAAAGCTTGATTACTGAATGCAAATACAGTAAACAAATGGCTGTGTACATTTCCACAGATTCGATTAAGTAATCCACTGTGTGGGAATGTAACACAGATCGGGAGACTGAGCACATGCAACTCCCATGACTCCCCATCCCCAGCACTTAATTATAAGCAAAATCCATCCTTTTAAGGACAAGGCAGAAAAAGCAGGATTTGTGGTATAACTAACAAACCACTGGTCCTGACCTAGTAAGTTCCCTTCTGAATATCCACAGAGATATGTGGATGTTGAACAGCAGAAGAGGTCATGTAGGAGGAATCTAGAAGTTTTAATGCACAGCATCTTAAAGCAAGTGAACAAGAAAAACATAAAGATTGATCTGCTCAGGTATTTGCTATTCATGATGACACCTCTGAAAGACTCCCATTTCAAGTTTTAAGTGTAATGCTCCAGCTTTTTTTCTGTGCCTTTGTCCTGTTCTGAGTTGTGAATTGGGAAGCAGAGGAAGGCACAAGGAGATGGGATCCTTCTTGCTTTCACAGCTTTTCCAATGGGATCCTGAGCCTGCCAGGTTTTCTGCTCTTCCTCTCCCAGTGTTGCAGTATCTCAGCCCTGTGTTTACACATGCAGTGAAAATGGCATGCTTCACATTCCCTTTATGAGTGGCTGAATTACTAATTCTGAGAATTCAAAGCTGTCATTTCTGAAAAACCTTTTAAGAAGTATTTCCTTCCCTATCAGCATCCCCCCAGGCAGTATTTGGAAGAGTCAAATCAGCCACCATGAATCTTACTGAAGGAAAAGAAAAGCCTTTTAGAGACTGAGAGGGTATTAATGCCATCTCACAAAATGTTCCAAGCAGTGCTTCAGACTCCTATTTTCTCATAATGGGGCTTTTGAGCAGTGGCTGCTGCTCAGAAGTATTAAGGCATTAAAGCATATGACGATCCCCTGGTTTTACAGACAGGCCATGTTTTCATGGCCTCTATTAGAACCTGCAATCAATTGCAGGCAGAAACTGTAAGAATAAAAATAGAAGCCATGTTAAAAACATCTGAAAAAATCAGCCTAGTTTTCTTGTGTACAGGTGACTGATGGCTTAAGAATTACAAAAACAGGGCCAAACCTCATCATTATTTTATGATCCAGGAAGAGTCTGTGTCCTTAGATATAGGGCGCTTCGCTTTAGGCACTACATAGTCTGTGCTGTAATGCAGAAGAGGACAGCTGAGTACCATGAGTACATTGATACCTTTCTCCATTTGACACCGTTTCCCCATTGCTGCCTCAGTCTGCTTGCCGCCCCGTTGCTGCTCACCCCCCCGTGTCAGCCCACTCTTGTTGAGAAAATCCAAAACAGAGCAACCTTCCCCTTTGCCAAGAGCGTCTTCTTAAAAGGTGACCCGTCTCCACAGATTTCTCAGTCAGACCTGTCCTGGGGAGCCTCAGAAAGCTGCCCAGCAAAAGCCTCCTCACTAGCTTTCATCTGTTTTTTCCATAGAGCTGTCTGCCCCAGGTCTGCTCTCCCCAGAAAGTTTCAGCTGAACTCTAGTTATTATCACCTGGCATAGCAGGCTTAGGTGTTAATTGCATTACCCTCATCAGATAATGAAGGTATTTATTCCTTCAGGCTGGTAAGGTGAGCCACACACGTGCAAGAAAATCTGAGTTTTGGTTAATTTAAAGGACCATCCCACCTTATGGTGAGAAGTCATAGGGATAATAGTGATCCATACATTACACACCAAAGGCAGTTGGCCTTTTAACGTGTATGGGTTCACTGTGGGTATATTCACACGGAAGTAGGCAATTAACTGTAGATTGCACTAGTGTAAAAATAAATATAGAGCTTACAGCCAGAGAGCCTTTACTTCAAGAAAACAACTTTAAAAACAGCACGGTGTTTCAGTGTCTGCTTAAATTAATCAGACAGAATTGATCCTGCCAGATTACTGATCTCAGACATTGTATTTTATCATGAAGGAAAACTATAACAGAGCTAATTGGGATCTTTATGATCATTTCTCTGCTGAACATGAATGGTTTCTGGAAACAAATACTTCTCTCAAATAGAAAGAATTGTTTCCAGAGAAAACATGCAACTTCTAAAACACATATACCAACTTGGACAGTAGATAAAATGAAATACGTAGATCTACTGAATTTTACTCATTCTGGTCCAGTAATTATGGATTAAGCTAATCCACTTCTGTTTAAGTTATAAATACATGCTCCTACTTCCAAGGAAAAAAAACCCCAAAGCTCCAACTCAGCCCTGAGCACACCTTCTGCATATTAATGACTCTGCTGTTTCCATGTACAGTAATTATATTTCTTGTTCTAGACAATACTATTATTTCCACCCACAGAAAACTTTTGGAAATTGCAGTTATTTTTCAGTCCAGTTGGTGGGGTTTTTCTGACATTAAAATTAGTAGCTGCAGTAAGGATCGTTATCATCTTAAAATGAAAATAAAAGCAATTGAAAAGTAGCTGTACCCATTTCACGATGCATCCTTCCCTTCAAAGATTTCCGTTTGAGGAGATTTTCTTCCCAATTTACTCTGTGATTTGCAATTATGGAAACCAAATGTATTGGGTTTGCGTGGCACGGTTTTGGTAGCAGGGGGGCTACAGGAGCGGCTTCTGTGAGAAGCTGCCAGAAGCTTCCCCCCTGTCCGATAGAGCCAATGCCAGCCGGGTCCCAGCAG